ACTTTTTTTTTTTCCAGTGTCCCCAATCCTCTTCTGTAGGAAGTAGATTTTACGCAATCACAACCAACAACTCCTCCAACAGCTATGAGGATGACACTCCTGTCTGAAGCTCCATGACTCTGCAATTCACTCAGAGAGAGAGAAAGAGAAAGAGAGGAGCAAAGTTGGCCAGCCTCGTTGTCTCCTGATGGTCAGTGTTCAGACTATAACTAACTCCAGCAGTATGAACATGGATAAAATACTTCTGAGCTTCCCTTTGTTTTTATTTGTTCCCTTTTCCTCTCCAACTCCAGCTCAGGGTAAGCCGGTTCTTTTTTTCCAGAGATTCAATCTATCATATACTTCTAGGCTCCTTGGGGAATTCATTGATTTTGTTTTATAAGCGTTTTCAAAAATAATTTGTTTGTTTTACATTTTCAAATGCTGCCAATTTCTCACCTTATATTAAGGTGAGTTGGTAGTGCTTTTTTTTTTTCTTTTGCTGTAAATTTTCCATCGCTTGCTGCTGAAAAAAAAATGTTTTTACTGTGAAATTGAGAAAAAAAAAATTATTTATTCAATTTTTGGGAAAACTATCTGGTCAAAATAAGACAATTATTTCTGTTATTCCATTTTGTTACAAATATTTCGATTTGTATGTAGCTTCTAAAGGATTAATGAAAAAATAAAGGTAAAAATCCAATGCACAAGAGCACAAGATCAGCTAAATACGAGATAGTTATTTGGTCTTTTGTTATGAAATATCTTATGCAAAAGAGAAACTTTATTTTATTTGTTATCCTTTACTTTCCCTTTTTCCTTTAAAGTTCCTTAAGGGGCTTTGTTGTTTACCTATGTGTCAAAAAAATAAATAAATATCTACACCTAATAATATTTTATTTCCTAGTCAGGTGGAGATATCAGTGATAAGGGCACTGCTAAGCAAGCTGTGTGAGTGAGAAAACACCTGAAGTAAAGAGTAGTACAGGACCATAAGTTTCCTCTGACCAAACGGGACAACATACAGTCCATCCTAAACAGCCACAATCAAAACAGTAGACAGGAAGAGCTGACACTGTTCTGTCTGTCTCACCTTGAATACTGGGTTCATCTGTACCGTTTTATGACTCCAATTGAATAAACTGAAAAGTTGATAAACTCTATCAAATTGAAATAAAGACTGTTTTAGTGTAAGTCATTAGATATATATATGATATAATGATTGGAATTCATCATTCATATTGTTCAATAAAACAATATTTAACATGAAAAATGCATTTACAATACATCAAGTGTGATATATTCTAACCCACTTCTGTTGAGCCCTGACATTATAAAAGTAATTTACGAGGTCCAACAATAGAAATGGCCCACACCCACCTTAGGCATAACTGTAACGGGGTAGCAAGGCTAACATTAGCCAAACTGTTGGCCAATGTTAATTCACAAGAACGTTTGTAATTAGGAAATGAAAGTTATGTTTGACCAACTCGCTTCATATTACCGATTCTTTGTTAATCCTAAAGGCAAATCGTACTCGTACTCGTCGTCTCCCGCTTTATCC